TAAACCTCATCCTGTTGGAATTAGCCCGTATCTCCAGGCTATCCAGGTCCCTCTGCAGAGCCCTCCTGCCTTCCAGCAGATCAACACTCCCCCCCAAGTTTGTGTCATCTGCAAATTTGCTGATGGTGCACTCAATCCCCTCATCCAAAACATCAAGTGGCACTTTGGTTTGCAGACATACCACACAGTAATGAGGCAGTCCAATAGTTCCTTTGGTCAGATACTCACGGTTTAATGCCAGACACCTGCATCTTTAAGGCACACACTAATGCTTAGTAAATCAATTATTCTGTTCTGTAGATATCACCAGATTAGCGCTTATTATCCTGTAGTTGCTAATTGACAAAAATGACCATAACAGAGGATGTTAGAGGCACTGGTTGTAAGAATAAAACCTCTGCATTTCAATTTGAAAAGATTCTTTTCAAGTAACACCAAGGGAAGGCCCAGCTGGAGATGCTAGCATGTATTTAGAGCTCTACTTTGCAAAGAAACTTCTTGCCAAGGTCCTCTATGCTGCTCTTCAAACTGCAGCACAGATCACAGGCATGGCAGAAAAACTGGGTACCAAGATAACTCTGGTCCATCCAGTCCTACATTTTGTACAACAAAGCATGAAACCACAGTGCAGTTCTTTTGAAAGAAGAAAACTGTATTAAACCCCAAATCCTCCAGTAATATCACAGCTCTGCAATTAAAACAGAGACAAGTAACACTATTTTAGAGCATCTATTGTATAAGATGGATTACTGTTGGCAGCTACTGAGTCCCCCCTACATATTCAAATGCTCAGGAAGAATATCTCTATGTCTGAAGGGCAGAGGTGAATGAAACAAAGAGGCTAACTGCACTAAGAAGTGCCACATCCTTACCTGCCTTCTTTGCAGTCAGCGAACCGTCTCTGTTGATGACCACATCTGAACTACTCATCATAAGAAAGCTCTGTCCAGACAGGATACTTCCCAGCAGATCAGGCACAGGGGCAGCTTCTGCTTCTTGATCAGGACTCAAGGCAGGTACACTGCTTCTGCATGTTTCAGAGGGGTTATATTTCCTTTACTCTTACAGCACTTGTTCTATACACACACATTACATTAAAAAGAAACCAAAATCAAGGGCAGAAACAGAGATCAGCCAGGGAAGTTCACTTGTAGCTCTGGCTTCACTGGAGTCATTCAGTCCCCATCTCTCTCTGACAAACAAAAGGTGAAGCTTTTACTGACTTCCCATGGGAACACCACAAAACAGGAAAGAATGTAATCATACATGAGACCTTTGGTTAGCAAATGCTTTTGATCTTAAGAGTGGTGATAATTGTGTATCAAGATTAACCTTCTAGTTCATTTAACATGCATTTTTGAAGGATTAACTGTTGTTCATTGCTTCCGAGACATTTCCATCCTAGCTGCCTCTCTTCCCCCCACCAAATCACAGCCATGAACATATTCCTCAGGCCTACACTGCTATCTAAAGAAAGACAGCTTGAACCAGTGTTTAGTACCAGTCAGAATTCACAAGGTGCCACTGCTAAGGTAGCTAAGAGCATGGCATAGAGAAATTACAGTGAAAACCAACAGCAATGTTCTCACACATGGGACAACACAAACACTCCTCTTTATGCTTTACTCACTCTTATGAAGATGGTTTTAAGTTCTCTGTTCTGGAAATATGGACTGAAAAGGTTTGGGTGGTTTTGGTGTTGGTGTTTGGCTTTTTATTCTTTCTTTAATTTTGTGTTGATGGGATTTGGGGGGTTGTTTTGATTGGGTTTTTTTGAAAGACAAACTCCCAAAGGAACCAATAGACCCAGGGAGCTACATTTCATTTCTGCATGATAACACAGCAAGCTTCCTAAACATAGTGTACACCAAAACACCTTTAATAACATACAACAGAATGATAAAACAGGAAGGCTAAAAGAACTAGCTGCTAAGGCCAGACCAGGACACTCACTGTAGTGCAGGCAAATTGAGTCTTTAGAAAAGCTGAATGTATCAGCTGCAAGTTTTATCTTCTGACAATGTGCTACTCAACTAACACCAGGGGACATGGAAAGCTTCCTGAAAGATTTCCCTCAGGACTGAGTTAAGAAAGGTAGAGAAATAAGCCAAATTATCATAGAAATATACTGTCTTCATCCTGAGAAATCAACATTCACCATAAGTCAGATGCATTAGCCATGTAAGTCTCTCACACCTTTAATCACTTAAACTGAGCTCCCTCCAGTTCTCTTCAGCTCTCAGCCCTGCAGTTTTCTGTGACTCAGCTGGTATCTGTGATTTTCAGTGATTCTGCCCATCCCTTTTCTTGCCACCATGCTCCTGCTCTCTGTGTCCTATCTCTCAGTCCTGAAAACTCACTGTGGCTGCCAGTGAGGAGCACCCAGCAGTGCTCCCTGGCCTGGGCAGGCATGCACACACAGCCACCCTCAGACAGCAAAGCAACTCTTACATTGCAGGATCAAACACCAATTTTCCCCTCTCAATTTTCTGAGCTCCAACAAATGGCAGAGGAAATGGGTGGGGGGAGTACAGCTCACTTCCTCTGGCTGTCCAAATGGATTCCCTGGCAAGTGTTTCTTTAAAGGTTAATGAGACTGAGATTTAAAACATACTAATGGGGTTACTAAACAATCACAAAACAGAAAGCAAGAGCAGACACATTATGGTGGAAATACCAATTTGAAATTTCAATGCAAATGTTAAAGGCATTATGAAGGATACTTAGGGTAAGAAAAGGGTTAAACCAGTATGATCACCCAGTTTGCTCTTTTGTTAGGGTCATTAGACAACTAAAAAAATAAAATAATGTTGGATTTTTACCTGGGAAGTCCCACAGAAACGGGTCTGGCTACAGGACGGTGAGACCTCAGTGCTGACTGGGAGAGAACTCTCCTTTTGGCACTCACTGGTGAATCTGGATTTGCTGGAACCTCTTCATTACTGTGGTAGAACACACACACATGAACTCTGAAGTTGTCTGAAATGTTCTTTACATCAAATAGATGACGTAGACAGCACTACTAGGACAAGTACTGTTAGAAAGCATTGTTTGTTTTATTATGGCACACTGAAAAAATATTTGTGCAATATACTTATTTTCTGTAGCTACACAACTAGAACAGTGTGGTTCAGCCAGCAGAGACTCAAATGCAGATTTTTATTTCCAAAATATTAATTAGACAATGAATTTTATAATTTTATGAAAGGATGAAAAAGATCTATTTAGTGGAAAATTCAATGTCACCAACAATAATTTCAGACCTCCCCTCCCCCAAATTCAAAGCTTAAGAGTGATACAAACTATGGCACAGTAAGATTTCTCCTGAATTTAAAGCATATGGAAAAGTGAAGATGGGAAAAGGGGAAACATGGAAGATTCCACAGGTCTACTTAACTCTACCTGATGTCACTGTTTATTGTACACCAAATAAACTAGCTATCTTCCTTCATTTATAGGAAATGAATAAAAAGTGATAGATCAGGATCAGACTCCTTCAGATTCTAACCTGTTCAATAACCCCAGATCTTATGAGAGGTTTTCACAAGGCTGATCACTTCAGCAAAACTCTTCAGTGAATGCTGATTCTTTAAGACTTCAGCAACTCAGCCCAGAAGGAAAGAGAGGAACTTGGGAATGCTGGCAGCAGCAGCTCAATATGAGCCAACAGTGTGCACAGGTGGCCAAGAAGGCAAATGGCATCTTGTCCTTGCTCAAGAATAGTGTGGCAGCAGGACTAGGGAACTCATCATCCCCCTGTACTTGGCATTGGTGAGGTCACACCTCAAGTGCTGTGCTCAGTTTTGGGTTCCTCACTTTAAAAAGGACAGCGGGAGTGAGTCCAGCCAAGGGCTACAAGGGCAGAAAAGGTCTGGAAAACATGTTTTATAAGGAAGAGCTGAGGAAATTGGGTTTGTTCAGCCTTGAGAAGAAGCTCAGGGGTGACCTCATGGCTCCCTGCAACTCCCTGAAAGGAGGCTGTTGAGTGTTGGGGAATGGCCTCTTCTTCCATGGCTACAGGGAGAGGACTAGAGGGAATGGCTATGAGCTGAGACAGGGAAGAGTCAGATGTTAGGAAAAACATTTTCTCTGTTAGGGTTTTCAGGCACTGGAACAGGTTGCCCAGGGAGGTGGTGGAGACACCATCCCTGGAAGTGTTTAAGAGGCATCTGGATCTGACCCTGGATGATATGGTTTAGGCATTCCAGCAGTGACAGATTAATGGTTGGACTGGATGATCTTAGAGGCCTCCTCCAACCTTGATGATTCTACAACAGAACAGGCCAATGTGTTATTACGAGCTCTGTATCAAAACTGACTTCAGATGTGAGGTCTACACTCTGCATGCAGACACATGGACAAACAACCAACACTTGTGAAATGATCTAGTTCCTGACTGCAATCCAGAGACACCTTACCTTTCATAAGGATCCAACTCATATGGATCCCCAAACACAGACAGAGAAGCTGCACCAATATCTGCTCTCATCAGACCCAGTGAGGGCTCTGTGGGTTTGTACATGGAAGGGAGTGAGGCTCCACGCACAGGTTTGCCAAGACCAAGAGTTCTTGCAATACGGGAGCGAGTAGTAACCTCATTTTTCACCTGCACAGATAAAGAGATTGGATTATTTGTATGTTAGGGCAGGTACATACCTTGGGTTTAATGCCCCAAGTTCTTCACTTAGGCTAAGTACAGTCCTCAGGTTACTGCCAGCAGTAGCAGAAGTTGTGTGCATTTACTGTCTCTGTTTTAAAGCATTTATTAAACTTCTAACTATGGCGTATATGTCACTTCAAACAGAGACTGCACATATCAGATTGAAGTGACCAGATAAATTAGGATTTTAAAAATCTTTAATAATGTAAATTCAAAACTGCTGGTGCCTTATTAAGGGCTGGAGGGACAGTTCTGGCTGTAGGATGTAAACTCTAGTTAAGGTAGCTAAGGACAAAAGTCAAACTGGTGCAGAGTATTCAGTACAATTCACAAAAGGACATTACCCATAACTGAAAGAAATTTTGCGAGCCCTTATGGCTGATTAACTGGGTTTGCTACAAGAGACACAAACCTCCACAGCTTATTAAGAAGAATAGGTGCTGACAATCTTAACTGAGCATCAGTACTAAGCAAACACTACAGCCAAACAGCAAGGCAGAACACAAAGCCTGCAGGACATGCCTTACAGTCCAGGTAACAGGATTTGTCAGCACACCCAGCAGGCCTGCCTGGAATTTGAAATTTGTTGTCATATACAACATCTTCTCTGTGGAGTACACTGGGCACATCCTGCACATACTCCCACCAGAAAGAAAGGTGCCTGCTGCCATTATAAAATGGTATTTTTTCCAACTGAATCCCATGTTATGATGCTTTTTCAAAGGGCTGAAAAGTGGCAGATACTGACTGGCAGAAACTCACATGTGATCTTACTCTTATCTTTTTCCCCCTTCTCTTCTTTACCACACGCTTGCGTCTCTTCGACTGTGCCCCTGAACTCTTCTTCCCAGCAGAAGATTTTGTCTGAGTTCTTCTTTTGCCTCCTGCTTTCTTCCGTCTACCTGATGGGACAAAACTCAAGAGTCTGGCTAAGTGCTGTCACCATATTTAACTCTATGCTCCCCTTTCCACCCCCTGGCACACAAAGCAGCTCAAAGAGACATACAGTGTGCCACCAACAGCAGAGAAGAGTGAGTGACATCATTAGGAGTTCTTTCAAAGCAACTTCTGTAGAGGTATGGGGAAAGAAGAAAATGCATGTGGGATAAATCTGTAGCTGTGCAGGTGTGGCAGCACGCAGCTGATGTGGAGTATTTTGCAGGACTCAGGCTTCCCTAAGGTGCTCAGTGCTTGCCCTTACCTGTTTTTCTCTTCTGCCTGGTAGGAGCCCGTGGTGTAAGGGGACGCTGGTAGACTGCTGTGTTTAGGCCTGCCACAACTGCCTCAATTGTCTCATCCAGAAGAGATGACATGAGGTACCTGGGCACGTGCTGCATGGGGGATTAGAAGTTACATAATACAGGTATCTAAATGTCAGCAGTAAGTTAGTTACAAAAGCATTTGATGAAAAATGGATTTGAGATTCAAATGAGGAAACCTCTCTTCACCAAGCTGCTGTTAAGCAACTATGTCACCTGTCTCATCTATTTGACTGACATATTAAGGACCTGCTCTTCAGCCAGCAGCAGAATTACAAGTCATAGCTAACCTCACTTTCTTAAATGAGAACAATCCCCAAGACTGACATTTCATCAATGAAAGAGTTCACTTAAAAAGTTTCCCAAATCCACTTAACTGACCTCCAGCTCAGTGCGTGATGAACAAAGACTAGAAAGTCAAAAGTACAGGTCCCCTGTTTTTAACTCCTAGCTCTTTAGGTCAGATTTATCTAACACTGTGAAACATGCTCAGAGGTATCACTTTGAACACACACCTGAGGGAACTCCCTGTGAATCCCCCTCTAAAGCATCACTTCAGTCTGATAAACAGGCTACTCCAACAAGTTACAAATTTCTCTTCCTCTCCACACTCAAGGAAGGGTATGCCTGTTTCCAGCTTCTCGCTGTGCTTTGAGGACAAGAGCTTACACACCCTCAACCAGCAGAATTAAGCTTCAGTCAGTTCAAGGTAGGAGCTAAAATAAGATGCACTTCTATTCAGAGGCAAAGGCAATGAATAACAGTGCCTTCCAAGTAGAGTTTGTAATCATCCCTCCACACAGAGGAGTGGAGCTAAGAACAGCTCCTTGAATGGGAAGTACTGTGTTCCCAGGCTTACACTGCTATGCTCTGGTAAAGTCTCCAGGCACTACCTCTCTCACCTGCAGGAGCTGACTACACACTATCTATAAAACAACAGATAGGGAAAGAAAAATGCACAATCTTTCACTTCAAACAACACTCTTCTCCCATAATTTGTTTTCAACATAGAGCCCTGACTGCTCAGCTATAAACTGCTTATCAACAATGCTTCAAACTATTCATCAGCTTCTGTTTTATTAATTCTTGTAAAGTTCAAGTGAGAAGGCCTGGGCTCGGAGACAGTGGGGTTTGGCAGTCAAATGAGATCACATCCATTGTGGAGGACATAATGAATTTAATGACTACAAAAGCACTCTGGGAAGTCCTTAAATCAAGGAACAAAGATGATACAAACTTCAGCCAAGCTAGATCTTTATACGTGGCAGCTATTTCAGACTGTACTTATTGTTGGAAGGGAAGGACCTTGGATATTTGGGATACCTCCTTGCAGAGATTCTCTGGTACTGTTAACGTGATTTTACTCACGCTGACACATTATTGAGGACACTTAGCATCTGGGGTTTTTTTTCTCTTCAACAAGAGGCTGATTTTCACAAACACAGAAAACTTAAAAGTACTAAATATTTCTCTTCAATTGTGCTGAAGGTGGTCACAACAGGTTCTACTGCTATGGGAAAGGAAGCAGGAGGACAAACAAGAAAATATACAACTGTCAATAAACATGCGAAAGAAACAGAAGGGGTGTACAAACTGTGTATTAATAGCTACTGGGAATAAAAATACAATTTTGCTCACACCAAAGGTGATAAAAATGCAGATTAAGAGAGGAAGCTACTGCAGCATTTCAAACTAGAGTCTTGGTCATGTGCTGCACTCAATCTGCACATGTTCTACATCTCAGTTTAAAAGAACTCATAGTATGTTAAGGGGTTGAATGGACCTTACAGATCATCTAGTCTCACCCCCCTGCCATGGGCAGGGACACCTCCCACCAGAGCAGGTTGCTCAAGGCTTCATCCAACCTGGCTTTGAACACTGCCTCCCTGGGCAACCTGCACCAGTGTCTCACCATCCTCAGAGGAAAAAAATTTCTTACTCATACCTAGCCTAGATTTCCCCTCTTTCAATTTATACCTGTTACTCCTTGTCCTGTCACTACAGTTCCTAACAGAGTCCCTCTCCAGTTTCCTTGTAGGCCTCTTCAGATCCTGGAGGGCTGCTATGAAGTCTCCATGCCACCATCTCTTCTCCAGGCTGAACAGCCCCAACTTTCTTATCCTGTCTTACCAGTTTTGTGGCCTCCTCTGGACTTGCTACAACAGTTCCACATCCTTTGTATATACACAACTACTAATGATTGTGCTATGGACAGTCAACACAGACAGCTGAGCTATGTGAGTGGAGGGGGGACTTCTATCAACTCTTCAAGAAGGTTCTCGCAGAGGCTCATTAGCCAACACCCCTCAATACCTGGATCTGCTGTGCTGTGGTTATCCGGTTCCTGTTCACCGTTGCCCTCACACGTTCGCTCTGCCGAGTCCTGGCTATAGCTCGAGTTCGGACGTGAAGGCGTAGCCTACTGGTGGTGGGAACAACATCAGCCACGAGTGCAGCCACCTCTTCTTCACTGACATGATCTGTATCTTGAAAGAAAAGATGCTGAGGTCACTTCTCTTTCAATGGGTGAGAGCATTGAAAGAATTTCAGACAAATAAAATCAGCATTCCCTTTCTTAAACCAATCACCTCCAAAGGCAGACATTACCCTCTGTGCTGGTTTGGCCTGACGTAGAGTTAACTTTCTTCACAGTGGCTAGAGATGTTTTTGTTGTTGCTGAGCAGAGCTGACAGAGTCAAGGCCTTTGCTGCTTCCCATACTGCCACACTGGCAAGGGAGTTGGGGGTGAATGGGAGATTGGGAGGAGACACAGCTGGGACAGGTGACCCAAACTGACCAAAGGGATACTCCATACCATAGCACATCATGCTCAGTATATAAAGTGAGGGGGAGAAGGAGGAAGGGGGAACATTTGGAGTGATGGTGTTTGTCTCCCCAAGGAACCATTCCGTGTGATGGTCCCTGCTCTCCCTGCCTCCTGCCCGTGGGAAGCAGTGAATTCATTCCTTGCTTTGCTTATGTGTGTGGCTTTTGCTTTCCCTATGAAATTGTCTTTGTCTCAACCCTTGAGTTTTCTAGTTTTTACCCTCCTGATTCTCTCCCCCATCCCACTGATGGGGGAGTGAGTGAGCGACTGTGGTGTTCGATGGCTGCCTGGGGTTAAACCACTACACCCTCTCAAAAGGAAATGAGCACAGACACCACTGCTTCAGGCTGTTACACAGTTTTTCCAGGTAACAGAAACTGCTGCTGCCTTGGCAATCTGCAGTCAGGATACTAACGAATTCTGTCCACTCTGATACCATGCAGTCGCACGAAGGTGCTGGGCTTGCCTCAGAAAGGTTAGGAATGTTTACAAGAAGTAGCTCTGCAGGTTGCAACTGCAGATGAAACTCTTCATAAACAAGATCCTCTCACCAGTCAAGAGTTCAAGTCAGCTCTTAAGGTTCAAGAGAGAATGCTTATCCAAACAATTATTTAAAACAGATAAAACTAGGACATTAAACATCTCTTCAAAACAGCACATGCTTCAGATTATCTAACTCAGGAGAAAAATATTTACTTTGACTGGATACCATGAAATCCTTACCTGCAGCAGCACTGACACCCATGGGGGCACAGGCTGGACAGAACCATTCATCCACAGGGACTTCACTCAGAGGTGGATTAAGGCATTCCATGTGATACCTTGAGAAAAATTAAAGAAAAAACATCAGTGTGCTCCTTAACAAGGGAAGAGAGCCTTTTACCTCCATCCACAGGCTACTCAAGGCAGACTCATTTCTTGAGCTTGAAACTATAGTTTACACATCCACTTCTACCAATCTCCAGAGAAACAATGCTACCTGGTAGCATATAAGGATCTCCAATTCTACATTATATTTCCATCACATTAGGCTCAAAAGAGCTCAAGAAAGAGAGCATCTTTCCCCCACTGTGTGGTGAAACACTTGCCATTTGAACCCAAGCTGCAAGAAATGGATGAGCAGCTCACCATGAGCTGCAGTGTGCACCAGCAGCCCAGAAAGCCAATTGAATCCTGGGCTGCATCCAAAGGAGTGTGGGCAGCAGGTCAAGGGGAGGTGACTCTTCCCCTCTACTCTGCTCTCGTGAGACCCACCTGGAATACTGCACACAGTTCTGGTGTCCTCAACATAAGAAGGACACGGAACTGTTGGAGTGAGTTCAGAGGAGGCCACCAAGTTGCTAAGACGACTGGAGCATCTCCCCTATGAGGACAGGCTGAGGGAGTTGGGGCTGTTCAGCCTGGAGAAGAGAAGACTGCATGGAGACCTCAGAGCAACTTTTCAATACCTGAAGGGCCTACAATGAGCTGGAGAGGGACTCTGTTAGGAGCTGCAATGATAGGACAAGGGGCAATGGGTTCAAACTGAAGAAAGGAAAGTCTAGACTGGATATAAGAAAAATGCTTTTTCCTGTGAGGGTGGTGAGACACTGGCACAGGTTGCCCAGGGAGGCTGTGGCTGCCCCAACCCTGGCAGTGTTCAAAGCCAGGTTGCATGAAGCCTTGAGCAACCTGATCTAGTGAGGTGGTGTCCCTGCTCATAGCAGGGGGCTGGGACTAGATGGTAAGGTCCATTCCAACCCCTAAATTCCATGATTCTATGAAATGTAGAGCCAAAACTGATGCTGGCAAAAGAAGCACTGAGGTGCTGGGAGACAAGCTAACAGAAAACAACATCAGTTTCCTGCAAACCAACACAGCATTAATGCTACTGGTACTTGTGAACATTTCATTTTACATGACTAGACAGGTCAACCGCAATGCCTTGTTATGCTGAATAAAGGCACTGCGTCCCACAGGTACCTGGCATGATTTTGGTAACTGGTGGTTAGGACTTCTGTGTAAGTGCATGAACTAGATTGCAGAGCATTGGTCACTCACTGGCTCCATGCAGCTGCCTGCAGGACTGGAGACAAAGCACACTGACTTCCACACACTATCCAGCTGGGAACTGTCCTTACCAAATCTCAAGGGGAAAGAAGAGACCATGATGCTCCCTTAGGGAGGCCTTTGAGATGTTCTCTACCCAAGAGGCTGAGCAGCCAGACTGAACAGGCTCATCAACCACTTACAGAGAAGCTACCCAGGAAAGACTTTCAGTGTGATCCAGCTTGGGGTTCTGTAATTTGTTCAATCCAGAGAAAGCAGCATGTGTTAGGAACACAATTTCTGAAGCAACTCTTGTTCAAGCTACACTGCTAAAAAGAATTAAAACAGATTCTTAAAGTAAATGAGATGCTTTCCATGAAAACTAAAGGCTCATATCAAGTTTCCTAGGCAAGGAACACGGGGAGACCACAGCCTTCAAGTAAGAGTTTCAGCTTCGAATTAGCACTTTTATAACCAACATTTTTCTTTCTATAAGGAGAAACCCTACTGGTAAAGACGGTGTTTAACTCTGAAATAGGTAATGAAGAAACCAAAGAGGGAAGTTTTGTTTCAACTTCTCATAGCAAAATTCACTGCCTTATAACATAACTCAGTGCCTGGCCACATAGTAAGGAAAGGGCAAGAACAACTCTAACCCTCTAATCCCAGTTTATATCAATACAAGAAGCAACAGATAGACTACAGCTGTTAATCTCCCTTCCATCCATCACCCCAACCTCAGAGTGTGTCTTTCAGACCTGTTCCCAACCATGTTGTGATGAACTCCATTGGCAGCTATCTTGTCAAAACTGCCAACATGATGCTTATACTAAAATATATATTAATTCTCAATACAAAATGGGATCTCAAGTCCTCCTTGCATGAAAGAATACACCTTAGCAGATGAGACTTTAAATTCTTTCAGACATTTAAAACAAAGAACTTGAAAAATGCTGTTTGCAAAAAAAAAAAAAAATCATTACTTTAAAATTAGCATAGCAAAGTATATTCCTCCTCTGGGAAAGCAGAGCTCTTTCCCCAACTGCCAGCTACTAGGAATGAGATCATCTCCCCAAAGTAGGATTCTGACAAATAATATTGTTATGTTCAGGCCAAAGTCATAACCTAAGTACTTGCAGCAAGAACTTCATTACATATTTTTCAAGTTATGCCTGGGAGTTCTGAAGTCACCTTATGACCCACTTGACAAGCAAAGACTTTCAGCCCTAAAACTTTGGACACTGAAGAACCTATTGCAACAGCCATCTGGAGTCCTCTGGAAAGGGGCAAAAAACCTTATCACACAGAAAATCATCATAGCAATATTCAATGCTAAACCTTACAGAAAGATAAGGTGATGTTTGCTTTACAAAAAAACTCCAAACAACAAAATCCAACCCCTAAGTAAATTGATTTTACTCACACTCATTCTCTAGGTTCATTTGCTTGCACCCATCCCCTCAAGCACAAAGACTCTGTGTGCCCAAGCAGTCTGGCCAGGATTATGTGTGTGCAATGCAGAAGGCAAGAGACACTGGCCATCATGTCCTCAAGTCCTCAACACATCTCCTGGGCTCTGTGACTGGCAGTAAAGAACTGATTTTGGACTTCTTGTATCTTTCAGGAATGAACGATGTTTTTGGGGAACTTCTGCTGTATTATTCTGACTCAGTCCTCACAAACCAGTAAAAACAGATCTATGAAATTACTGAATTTTGGTCACAGATGTAGCTCTGTTCTTAACTTCTTGCCACCACTCTCTGTATGAGTGCTACTCTTTCGTTGCTACTTGGTCACCTGAATGGAGTCATACATTACTATGCCCCAACCCTGGCACTGTTCCAAGCCATGCTGGCTGAAGTCTTGAGCAACCTGGTCTAGTGAAGAGGTGTCCCTGCCCAGGGCTGGATTGGGACTGGATGATCTGTAAGGTCCATTTCAACCTCTAAACCTCTATGATTCTGTATCACACCATTAATGCAATTAACCCTTCTTCTATTATTTGTTCAGGTGCCTGGACGTGCAGTTTTGTATTCATACCAATCTTAATGCTGTTGTGACACAGCTCAGAAAGTTAGGTTGTCACATTCCAACAAGTCTTACCTGAAAATGCTTTCAATTGAAAGGTTTGACTACTTAAACCATAGCTTAAATTTGTAAGACAGCATTTTACCACAGTTTAAGTGCTGGAGAAAGCCAAGTCTAGCTAAAAGCAGTAAGTCCACTTGGTTTAGGTTTGTTGGCAAATGTAACTGATGGAATTTTCACTCTCTCTCATGTCAAACAAATGTAGGGTATGGATCCATCACAGGGATGGATGGTCACATGATGGGCCTGAGGAGAGACCCAAGGGGCAGCCTACAGAGCAGACAGTGCCTGCGGACCAAACACTGTCCTGCCATGCAGTGCCATCCTCAATCATGCAGTTGCTCCATTCATTTCAGCCTCCCTTACCCTGCATCACAGCCATCGCAGAGCAGCAGGCGATCCTCGCGGTCACTCCTGCCACACACCTCACAGAAGGTTGGATCATCCTCTGCATCACTACCCTGAGTTTTCGTGTTCTCAACAGGAATCTAAACAAGAGAGGGATTCGCATTTTATACAGAACATAGCACTTTTTAAAAATCCATCATCATAGTAACAGTACCTGCAGCAAAACCTAAAAGTAAAGGAACCTTCCTTTAGTTCATTCAACGCATCTAGGGCATGATCAAATGCTTGAAAACATCTGCTGAACTTGTGTATTGTCAGACACCAACAACTACAGAAAACTGCGCTTTAAGAACAGGCAAAAAAAAAAAATCCATGAATAAGATCAAAACCAGTCAAAGAAAAAGACACCAAAAAATGAGGCAGAAGAAGAGAGCAAACTTTTCTACCCCCACACTATTTAAATGTTGATTTGCACTTCTGTTCAAACGCAAACAATAAACCATCAGTTTATGAAAACAGAGCATCAAAATCAACATCTTTCTGACACCAGTAAAGAGCAGTGACAGCTCTTCAATATTCTCTTGTGAGCAACAACCAGCACACTCAAGTGGTGCCATTCAGAGCTCTACCACTGCCTTGTTCCTCCCTCCCCTCACGAACACAACTGCCACACAGCACTGCTGGTAGCAAGACATGAGGAGACCATGTATAACCCAGATTATTTACATTCACACTCCAACAGCACTTGCAGCATGTGGGGCACTTTCCACAGGTGGACAGGCTTATCCGTACAGAACAGTTCAGTCAAATGACCATTATGCAAAGAGGCAGCTGTGAAAAACAGCCCTTCTGCCACCAGAACCTCTGCCACAGCACAGTATGGCAGGAAAGGTGGGGAAGGAGGAAGAACAATTTTAAGAGCCTCTTAAAAGGCAAACTCAAAATAAAAAAGAAATAATCAATCCAGATACAAAGTACCAGATAAACAGGCTACAACTGGAAACCTCTGGATAACTCTTTTGTGGCACTTGGCCTTGCTCGGCACAGCAGAAAACTCACCTTTTTTAGGATTTTACCACCAAAACGTGCCCGAATGCTGATGTACTTAAAGAGGATTCGATCCACTGGACAGGAGTTTGCATTCTAGAAAGAAAAAAGAATTTCCCAATACAGTGAATAAGTGCTTCTCTTGATTTAAATTTTAAAAAGGAAATATTAAATTATTCATGCAATAAGCATTAAATTAATGTAGCAGTCATTTTAACAGCTATTGATCGTGACATTGTAAGTACTTAAACCTGACTGATCTGGTTTACAAACAACCCATTATATCAGAGTAAACATACATTTTTAGAGAAGCATTTATTATACCTACTTCATTTCATTATTATTCAATTGCCAAAGCAACACCGAAGTTCTTCCAAACATTATTCTGCCTTGAAATAGTGCTCGTGTTTTGGGGTATTTTCTTTTCTCTTGGATGAGTGAGCAGCTAGAAGTGGCTTACAAACATAGTCAGTAAGAGTGATTTATTTATTTTGAATTTAATTACCACTGCTACTGCTGCATGCACAGTCAGTTTTGCTGTAATTCTCCCCCTGGACTATGACTATGTGAACTACACAGGTGGCAAGGAACTCTGACTGAAAACTGATTTCAGAGCAAGCTAACTGTCCATATTCTTTTACACCTTTAGTATGTTTAAATGTTCACTGCTGTAACAGATCCCCATCCAATGGTTACAATACAGGATTCAAGAAGAGATAAGACAGATACACAATGTATGTAAATATACGTACACACACACAAGCCTAGAGAAAAATCAGTATTACTGGTGTCTTCACTTGAAAAAACAGAAGAATTGCAGGTGCCTAAAAACACACTTGTTTATGACACTACAGCTCTCAGCGAACAGAACAGATCAAGAAAAACAGATCCACACTTCAAACATGAATCCTGCCAAATAGAGCAGCAATCCAAATCTGTTTAAAACAGCTTAAGAATGCAAATACAAGTATCAGAGTTTTGTCCTCATTGCAGCAGAACAGCATGGTCAGAGAGGAGAGAGCAGAGCACAGATGATGCTCACAGGACCTCACAGACAACACAGCTCACCTTAGACCACTCCACGATGCAGTCCAAGCAGAAATAATGGGAGCAGTTCTCAGGAGTCCCCACAGCCTGATCCCGAAACGTGTTGAGGCAAATGGGGCAGTTTTCACCATCCTCATCAGAGGAGATGCTTCCTCCATTCAAGTGTGGCTCTAATTTCAGAGAATCAGCCATTCCCTCCACAGCAGCCTCAGTTTCTTCTTCCTCTTCCTCCTCTTCATCATCATCTTCACAATCTTAAGAAGTGAGAGACAAAAAAACCAACTTGAATGTGCTGCAAGGCTTCAGCGATGAGGGTAGAGTGGTGGGCAGGATGGGGCACTAGCTCACAGAAAACTTCAAGTAAGCTTATTACATGCAAGGGCCAAGTGCAGTCCCTCCCCAGTTTAAGGCAATAATTTTTGCTGTTTTCTTTCTTCCTAAATCCCTTTGCTAAAAAGCAATGGATTACTCTGGTGAAAGATAAAGCCTGATAATGTGACTAGTCTTGCAAGAGATTAAGAGGACAGACAGCAGAAAAACAACAGATGATCAAAACAACAAGACAGTAAGGTATATCAGGCTACCCCTGGACAATGAAGTTAAAAAATAAAGTAATAATAAAGTTACCATGTGCCCAACTTTTGGGTTTTTTAATACACACTCCAGAGCACAATCAGCAGCAACACACTCATCTGCAGAACAGCAAATCACCAGTAAATCATGACTTTGAGAGTCAAAGCATCTAAGTGCCTGCTTAAAGAAGCTTGGTTTGGAGTAACATTAAACACTCAGCACACATTGCTGAAAGGTGCTTTCATTTTCAGTACAAAATACAGAGACATGTGTTAGCCTCTCCCTAAACCCTGTGAATTAAGTTGGTATTTTCAACAAGCAGCAAAAGGTTACCTAAAAAAACACACTCACTTTGGGGGAGGATGAGGTGGCTGTTGGTGGGTTGATTATTTTTTTTTCTGAAATGGGGCCCTTGTCTTTTGTCTTTTCTACTGAATTCTCCTGTTGGACATAACAGAGAATACTCTGAACTATGGATTAAAAAAAGCTTTTTGGCACCTGGCATCCATTTTTTAGCCTGTGTTCAAATCAGTCTAACTAGTAACTAGGAAAACAGTGCTCTTGCCTTCTCAACAAGCTTTAACAATGGATAAAACCCTCTATTTTTTGTCCCTCCAAATAACAGTTTCAGTGAAGCAGTTTCAGATGTGCATGCATCTACAGAGAGTACGTTTTCAGCAACATTAACAAACCCAAGTAACATCCACACTCCTTTCTCAAAACAAACGTGTTTTATTCCCTGATCCCTAGGCATAACAGCAACAGTAATTTCCTTCCAGAACTCTCCATCACAACATTCACTTTAGAGCCCCAAGCCAAAGCAAACTAACAAATGTGCTTTTCATAAGTGAAAAAATAGCATGAGCCATTGCTGCAATTTGGACTTCTTTTCCTACTCATGCTGGGGCAGAGTTCACTCCTGATGACTGCAACTACATAATTTTGGTTAGTGGATAGTCTTCAAACATACAAATGCTGTACAAGCTTAGAAATTGGGGAATATTACTTGTTTGTTTACTACTGTAGGATTTAGGCATTAGCCTGACACAGCATCCTGTCTTAGTCTTAAGAAGAGTTATTAAAAGGATGTCTGTTAATGCACAGACCTACCTTCTAATTCTTCATCTTCACTTTCTTCCTTGTCTTCCTCACCTCCCTCTGCCTCAGTGTCATCATCTTCCTCTTCACTTCCAGTATCATCCTCTGAATCACAGCTATTCCCACCATTGCTTTCTTAAAAAGAAAGAAGAGGAGAGGAAATACAATTTGATGCAGACAGGTAAGCAGAACAGTGAAGGACACACCAGAACTCCTGCTCAGGATGTGATGTACAAAGTGAAACCCCAGATTTCCTCAGTGGCATCAAAGCTGCCCATTTTGAGGAGCTTAAAGGGAAGCATGCCAGGAGCCTGATACACATGAGTTAGGAAGCAAAGGAAAACAAAATATTCTCAGGGGAAAAAAAAAAAAGATGAATGGTCACAAACACATCTTTACCACCCTTCTGAGGGTAAATCAATAGGTTCTCACATCTAAAAGCAGAAATGCACGTGGGCAGAGAGGCAGCATTTACCTGTTTCACTGAGGAGCGCGAGGCACTGCCTTTTGCCCTTCCCTAGAGCAGCATTCTTGTTTATCAGTTCGTCCTGGCTGTCATCATCCATGGCAGGACATTGGAAAATCCACTCCCTGCAAGAAGGCAGACTCCAGTGAGGCACTGCACCACCTGCACAAGCAGGGCAGATGTCAGGATGGCAAAGAGCAGCCCATGCGCCCGCGGAGACGTGAGTGGTAGAAGGGACATTGCTCTACAGCACAGGCTCCTCACACCATCCATTAGTTTTCCCACTTTCAAGTCAGAGGTGGCTCCAGGTAAGCAGCATCATTACCTGAGGTTTCACAGCCCTGCTGAGCAAGATGAACCCAGCTGCCTGGGCAACTCAGTTTAGGTGAAAGATTCAGCTTTATCTTGGGTGACAGAAAAAGGCATAAGCAGAACTCCCCACTGAAAATAGCGATAGAAAAACCACCAACACGGAAACCATCCTGTGGGCTAGCAATAAAATGCAAAACTGACACGGACCACAGGCCCTTTACACAAGGCCAAAGAGGATGACAATATGTGTTTCAAATCAAAATACTCTATCTTGCTCAGCTGAAAAGAAGTAAGAAGAAAGATAATGTAGTTTAGGTCCTTGTTGAAAAAAAACCAAAAAACCCAAAAGGCCTTTGCACAGCTCTGTCATGAAAGAGAGAAGCCTCAGACCTCACAACCATTATTGCACGGAAAGGATAAGACTTGATTTGGTGCATATTAATGCAATCACATTAATTGCTGTGCATCAGCACAGACTGGCAGCAGAACTGACAGATACTGGGAGATGTTGCGTGATCCAGACTCGTAACGACAATCAGATCAGAGCTTTTAACATACTGTGATACAAAGCATTAAGAAAGACAGAGCCTTGTTGAGTTCCTATAAGCCAGTCACGGAAATATACAACTAATTGACACTTAGAGCTAGACATCATTATCTCCATGCAAAAAAAATTAGATTCTTCTCTAAGTGTGGCAAAGACATTTCAGTCAGGTGCTCTTCTCCCACTCTCCCTGCTCCACATTACACACTTTCCATATTATGAGATATTTTGGAACAAAACATTATGTTTTACTCAAGTGCTCTTGATCTGCACCTTTACTTGCACACTCCCTTTTTGAGCCATGCAGCTCTGCACTAAAGAGCCTTAAAAATGTAAGCTTTGCTAAACCAAACTAACCAGGAAATGGAGTCATAGAATCGTAAAATTTAGGGGTTGAAATGGACCTTACAGATCATCTAGTCCCAACCCCCTGCCATGGGCAGAGACATTGAGTCTTCAAGGCCCAGGGAAGAAAACCAAAACTAAACAGAACAAAGACGGAGCTTCCCAACAACTGAAGTCATGTAAAGACTTCTCCTCATTTCATTAAGAATCTTGCCTAATAGAGGTTTAAACTTTAAGCTAAATGTTTAAAAAACTGTTTACAAACAATTTTTGCTGGCTGAAAACATGCAGTCTCAGCAAAAGCCAACTGCTCCACACTGCTACTGGAAAACTAGGAAGAAACACCAGGCATTTTTCACATTTCAGCAGTGCGCATGTATGAATTATTCAAACTGGAACTCAATTACGTAACACCCTCCCAAAAGCTCAGTTAGCTACAGCAACCCAAAATTTGCAGTGACATGACAGCCAGGACACGTAAGGGCAAGGACTGGTGGCACCAGTCTCATAGCAGGGCAGTGCCTGGCATGTGTGACATGTGGATTTGGATGTCACTGAGTGGGTTCCCGCTGACCTGTCACTGCCACATCCAGCCAGTTCCCACACTCCTGAGCCACCGAGGGCGACGGAGACCAACCAAAGCCAAGGTGGGAGTAAAACTGTGGCTAAGCCTCTACTTCACTACAACAATGACTTTTGTTCCTCTGCTCTCTAGTTTTCCTTAAAGCAATAAGCACAGGGAGGAAAGGGTCTTTGTATTTCAAGAAGCAATTCCCACAAGCCACAGTTCTCACCAACATATACTTAAGCACATTTCCAAACAGCATATCTTTGCTGTAGTAGAACAAAACAATTCCCCCTGTTATTTTTCACCTTGCTACCCCATGGAAAGATATCCTTTAAGGACAGAGGCAAACACATCAGCACTTGTGACTTGACAATCTGAACTGACATATTTATGCTGCGAACGCAAGCTTGTACTTTGCTCGGAGGCAGAACTCTGAGGTAAGGAGAAGCTGGTATAGCAGCAAACAATCAAGTCTTCAAGTCCTGTCAGTGAGAGAAGTCTGTTTTGTGGGTAGTTTTGAACAGACAAGGAGAAATCATGCGAGAAGTGAATTTGAGATATTAAGCACATCACAAATACTACTTTACAAACAGCCTTTTTCAAACTGGGCAGCTGCTCTTAGGAGAAAAAGAGGGAAGCCAAGGTTGACTATACACCTAAGGAGAGAGTTCATTCTCCTATTTTTAAAGGGCAATAAGCAGCATTTCCAAGTTGTTCGTTTTTTTCTTACAGGAAACATTTTAAACAAATTACCACTGTGTAGCACATTCATGACACACATCAGAGAGCTCACCCACCCAAAGAAAAGCTCAGTTTTCTCCAGAACTTACCACATCTAATTTTTCTAACTCTCTCAAGCTAGAATTGGCAAATACAAAATAGATGGGAAGCATTTTGATTACTACCTAAACCAAGAAGTTTCGTTAAGGAGGAGATTGTAGTCATTCCTCCAAGGCAAACCTTATCCATGCACTTCTGTAACACATAAGCCCAGGCTGCTAAAAAGCAATCACTTATCCCTGAAGCCCATTTAACTCAGGCAACTACAGCTGCTTTCAGTTTTAGGGTGCCAAGGACCTGCCCTCAGTGCTGACCCAATCCCTTCATGCTTGGAAAACCTCACTGTGCAGTACTGTTCATACAGCACTTCAGCTGTAAGCAGCTCTCACATGCACCAATCCTCCCCTCTGCATCCCACTTTGTAACTCTACCCAGAGTAACTTAGGATGCAATCCAGGAACAGATGCAGGGTGACCTGCTTGGAGATCCCTTGTCTCTGGACTCAACACCACTAAAGCTTATAGCAACCCCCTCTTTGGTTCCCTGGGCAGGTGCACAGCATATCCAGTATCTGGATTACAGGTTGCACACAAGGCAGGCTAAAGGCAGACACAATCCTCCTCCTCCTCCTTAATAGCTCCTGGTTTTCAAGCTCTCATTTAGAAGAGCCTCACAATGCTTTAATAAAACATTCAACCACAGCAGAGATGAGTGTGTGGCAGGTGTCTGACCACTTTACCTACACCAGCACTTTCCAGGTCCCTAGGTTTCCTTCCCTAAGAAACAACCTCACCAGGGCCAGGCCAGGCTGCCTCCAAGCCCCATGTGCCTATGGCAGCACAGGCTCTGCTGCAGTACAAGTTGTAAGCTTGGGCTTTGCTATTAAGAGTGATTACATTTTTACACAGAGCTGCCTTAAGTAATTTTAATTGTACAATCAAACAGCAATTACAAATACTTTCTTCAAGCTGTATTAGCAGCAGGGTTTTCTGTTGGCTTTGAGAACAGAGAAGATTAAGTGTTCCCTCCAGAACAAGTCTTTATCAAATGAGCATTTCAGTAAACACTTAGCTTTTTGAACTAAAATCCTTATGCATTACCACGAATCAGTATTTTAAAGTACTTTGAGTGTGTTCCAGCAAGAAGGTAAGTGCAGGTTTCCAACCATCAGAGGAGCCACAGCCTGCAAAACATGCTGGAGCTCCATCTCATCCGACACAACAGAGCTGCCTACAACCACGAGCGACTCTCCCAGACATATGTGCCTTCCCTTCCAGCACCAACTGATTTCCTCCTCCACCAACTTCTCACAGGAGTTTCTAGTGCTTTTAGGAACAGAAGAGCTACCAGACAAGGCACTGACTTTAACCTGCTTGGGTAGCATTCAGGATTATGCACAGGCGAAGGAGAGTCAGCTGGGTTTTCTCACAGGGTGGTTTTGAGTGCTGATCTAATTTAGGGAGATGTTACTAAGCCAGCAGGTTCCAAAGACCACTTTTAACTAAATATAAATTCACTAAATATTCAAACGTGAGCTTTCAGTTCTCATTGGCACATCTGCTTTATTTGTTGGCTTTGTGGGCTTGAGGTTTTTTTTGTGGGTTTCAGTTACAGTTTTGTTTGCTTTTATTTTTCCCCAAATCAATCAAACAATTTAGTTCCCTCTGGAAAACCAAAGTCACACATCCAGAAAACATTTGGCTTTACTTTCAATTTCATATGCTACATTGAACAAGAAGAAAATCAGAGTTGTAAAAATCATTGTTGTACACAGTTGGAAAACATCTGGATGTGGTGTGACTACTCCGCCACCACCACCTCATTCCAAAGGTAAAGCAAGACAAGTTGGCAGGGAAATTATTCAGCTTAACAAGAGACACCTACAGCCTAGAGCTGTGCAGTGCCAATCTAGCAGGCACAGGAAGCCTTAAAAAAGTTATCTAAACCTAAATTTAGATCCCTGTTTGAATTAGAAAAAAAAAATCCTTAAATAGCACTATGGGAGCTGCCCATGCCATGATTTAAGCAAGGGAAGCACCTAGGAATCTAACAGATAAGGCACAGAGGATTAAGCCGGGGGTGGGTAAGGAAACGTTTATCTTTCTCCTATTCCTAGCCCTGCCCTAAATTTAGCCACCTTGAATTCCCGGAGGAAAACTGTCGACCAAGCTTCCCCAGGAGCTGAACCCCCCAGCACTCCTCGGGCGGTTTGTAATGCAAACAAAGAGGCTTTGCAAAAGCACTTTGGAAGTGCAGCACCTTACCCGGAGGAGCAGCCAGGCAGTTTGTACCTCTGTATCCCAACCAGCAGCCAAGCTCTACGGAATTCCCAGCCGGCAATTCCCTGCAATCGCTGGCTCTGCTTCCAGCTGTGAATCAAACACACATCCTCCTCTTTTTATTTTTTTTCAAGAGGCTTCTTCTCCTAGGAATAGTCACCCTGGCTGGTAAGTTGCCTCTCAGCATGAGTCTTTCACACCATTCCCATCTTTAGCTACAGCTTCCTCTACTGTTTGCATAAACTGTACGGGGGGAGGGGGAAACCCCAACA